GCCCATGGGATTCTCATGGCCGCGTGAATTTTTGAGTCGTTTGGCCGAAAGGGTCTCCAAGCGCATGAACTCCGCTCAAGTCTGTCTCCAGGTCCCGAGAGAGGCGCAGTGTTAACGACACTCCTGAGAGACGCTACTCGGCCCTTCTGACCAACTCTTCTGAGCAAACACTTCTAGATCGACACTTCTGATCGACACTTCTGAGCGACACTTGTGGGAAACGTCTCCCGCAGCGTCTCTTAGTCTCAAAACGCGCACCGCGCCACAGCGAGAGCGATTCGACCGCACCAAAGTGCGCAGATCTCGTGTTGCGGCCGCGCGCAAGAGAACAATGAGAGACGATGGCGAGATGAAGCTCCTTGTCTCCAAGATACTGAAGCGAGCACAGTAGAACGCATACAGGGAAATCCATGCTTCGCCGTGATGTAGTTGTCGAGCCTGAATCCAGAAGGTTCTGCCTCGCCCGATGTTAAGAGTGCCAATACGCGCGTCAATCTCCTGACGTAGGACTCCCACGTCGAAGCGTACACGTTCGGCTTGGCCTCAATCACTTCGTAACCGGCCGCCCTTTCTCACCAACCTGGCCCAAGATTCGGGCTCATCTCGGTGAATCGAAGCCTGAACAGCTGTACTGATGACCCGATACTCTGTCTCTGATACTGCTTGCCCATGGAATCAGGTCGAGCAAAGTGGGGTCCGTAATGCGCTGAAGGTGAAGGGTATCGGTCTCCTTGCCCTCGCTGATGACTGCTACTCGTTTGGTCCTAGGGGTCATAACTACAGCCATCTTGTGCGAGTGTTGGATGCAGTTGGGCCTGGACTCTTTGGCATGTGCCTCAATGGCGGCGGCATGTATGCACAGTGGCCTGGTTTTGATGTGCGGTCGGCTGACTACCTTCAGCACCTTGCCTTAGCCCTGGCGTGCCAGGACCTTGTGGCACTCATGCGGGCCACCGCAGCTGAGCACATCCCCCGCATGATCTCTGAAGCCTCCTGGTTAGCCGACTCGGCGGGGGACTGCCCCCTTCTTCTTGAGATGAAGGCAGATCCCAATGACGCTGCTGACGCCTTCGTGCAAAGATCCTTGCGGGGGCTCATGGACATTAGAGCATTTAAGGCCACCGCCCTTGGCCGTGCTGCCTCTGGGTACGTCCAGGCACGTTTGGTGCAGCTCCCAGTTGCCCAGACACTGGACTTCCTATGGTTTCAGGCCCTTGCCAGCGTGTCTGCCCTCCGTAATTTTGCGTTCAAAGATGGCGTGACGGCTTGGAGTGAGCATTACAATGCCATCCAGCCAGGCATCAACATGTTTTCTGTCCATTTTGCAAATCGGGCCCCGTGGTGCCAGCACGTGATTGGGCAGAGCCGACGCATCGAGACCAACCTCCCTGATGGCACTGAGGTCTCCCTTGCTCTTAGGTTGCATGGTGGATCTGTCAAGTACATTAAAGACCCCTTGATCACGCATCTTGATCTGGTTGATGAACGCGGCTTCACGCTCCTGCCTGAGCTCAGCTCTATCCGGGCCGCACCGTCCGATTTCGTGCAGCAAGGACCCCAATGTGATAGCGACACAGCAGGAATCAGTGGTCCGCAAGAATTGGGACCGCGTTTCAAACGCCACATCGAGGTCGGTGACCTGATCGTGGTCACGACCTAGCAGCCTGGGGAATTGTTGGCAGACCTCCTCCGGGGCATCACGGAGCAGCGACTGAATGTTGCGCGAAAATTCCTGCAGGGGCAGGTTTGGCTCGGCTACACCGAGTAGCCTGGTAAGCATAATCAGGACCGCACTGCCACAGTAAGTTTTGCCGGTGCCAAAGAGTCCCTGGATACCGAACGTGACTCGTTGGGTGGCCAAGGCATGATAAATGCCAAGTAGGACACTAAGGAAATGGCCGTCAGGGCCAACACTGAGGCGCAGCACTGCAAGCAAGTACGTTGGGCCACACTGTAGGAGTCGATGCCAGCCCTGCTCATTTCCGCCCTGCCAAGACGTCTCAAGGGGGCGAACCATGAGTTGCAGGTCGGCCTACTCGGCCGGCGCGGGAGGGGCTCTCACAGGTGCCGGAAGCTGGTCCAAGTGTAACCAAGTGGGGTGCGCAGGGCTTTGGCAAGCAGGTCCAGAGCCTGCTCAATGTTCCTAGCATGTTCAATGAAGTCCGTGCGTGGGGCCAGGCGACCGCGGTAGGCGTCCCCCGAAGGCAGCCCCAGAATGGAAGGGATGCGATCCGAGTGCGCACTAAGCAAGAAATGCCACATGCTGACCCCATGTTTCGTCGGCCGGTGTCCAGTTTCCTCGGGAGCGTCGATCTCCTGTTGGTTGACGAGGCGCAGCAGGCCGGCCAAGCAGCCTATGTGGTGGTTCACGGTGCAGTGCCCCGCTCTGCCCTGACCGTTCACATTGGCGATGACCGCCAGACCAGAGGTGCCTCGGGAAATGACCCAGTTCGTGCAGAGGTTCTACAGCGTCTAGGGCATAAGCGAGTCGCCTTACATGGCCTCAATGACCTATTCGTGCCACAGGACTTCTTGGCCCGTGCGACTGAGCAACTTACCGGCACCCGGCCGGCATCGGACCATCCCGCCCTGCTTGGCATAGGCTACCTCGCCCACGCGGGAACACGCCTCCCACCTCCAGCTGATTTTGTGCGCAGCGCAAATGGCCTGTCTAGCCAGGGCAAGCCGGGGCTCAACCTTGTACTCCCTAGCAGCCTTCGCGTATCCCCCACGTGTGGTACCCGCACCTGTTGCATGAGGATGGTGAGACGAGGTCTTGTCGTTCCTAAATGACAATGGTCAGCTTGTGCTCTATGGTCGCCCGGGTACCTTTCCTGTTGGCAATGCATGGGATGCGTCTGATGCGGTCCACTGCGGCGAAATTAGCCTGGAGCCGGTCTCTGGCATGGTGTTCTTTGGTGCCGCCACATGCATGGCACACAGCGAGGATCTTCGTGAAGGGGCACCATGGCCTGCTTTGCCTCGTCTTTGGCGTACGCCTGAATGCCTCCAAACGCAGCGCTTTGATGCAACGCCATCGGCTCGGCCCCCGGCTGCACGCACTCCCGAGGCCCCCTCTTCCAAACGACAGAGAGGCCTACCGCCCACTCAGCTGGATGGGGTACAAGCTCTTCCTTGGCTACATGCGGCAGCTGCGGAGGGACCCCTCTCAGGGTGCCCCTGGCCCCGAGAGGGAGGTCGTCAAACCTCCACCTGGGGGCTGCTATTCCTCTAAGTCCGTGCATCAATGTACGGACCGGAGGAATAGGTTTTTGGCACGGATTTGCACGGTTTTGCGCTGCAAAATGCTATTACTCTAGGGCCTACCTGGCCCTGGAGGTCGGTCATCAGCTTTTTTTTAACACCGGAGAGTCTGGTCAGGGACTTCAGGTCCGCAGCCTCCGTTGATGCCTTCGGCATGGATTTCGCCTCAGGCAGCCGTGGCTTCGGCTCCGGACATGGTTTGCCATTTAGGGTTCACTACGCGCGCTCAAAATGCACACCGCGTCACAGCAAGAGCGATTCGACCTACTCAGAGTGACGTGCCTGCCACGAAATCTGCATCCAAGCTCGAAAGTTCTGCGCCTGCCACGAATTTTGCACGAACAGCTCCAAAGCACAATTCGAGCCCGAAGCTTTAAAGAACTGCGCCTGTCCCGCACAGTAAGCTTTTCACGAACTCAGAACCTTCCAAAGCACTGCGCGTGTCACGACTTCTGACTTTGACACAGTCGAGAGACGCGGCCAAAATTAGCACGGGACTGTGGCCCCAGAGTGATCTCGAGATTTTGACAAAACGAGCCGATTGAACGACGGGGCCAACGGACATAACGCCCGCGCAAACACTGGCGCGCGCCTGCCAAGCCAAACGCTTCAAAGCGATCGGCCCTGAAACGCAAACCCCAATGGCACGGCAATGCGAACATCATAATTACTCAGAAAGCACAAGAGACCTCATTTCAAGAAGAAAGTCTTCTTTTCAGCAAGAGACATTTGAAAAATAAGGGCTATAGTCCTTAAGTTTGTGGAAAAGACTTGAAATAAGAACTGTAGTCTTCGAATAAGGCCTACAAAGTTTTGCAAGAATAAGGACTATACTCTCTGTTTTAGGTGCACAAACTACCGGCCTTAATTAAGGACTTTTGTTTCTGTTGCTCGAGCAAGTTTTGACATGTGAGCCACTTCTCCTTTGCAGGAGGAACGTCCAGCTGGGGCTCCGGCAAGCCATCTGGGAAGCATGGCAATCCTTGCGTCGAGCTTTGCCGGGCTGGCCGGCAACGTGACGACATAGCCGCCGGGCACTGGCTTGCGCATTCGCTTTGCTCGTGTGGCCTTGTTCTCGAAGATGCTCTTGGCTGCGAGCAGCAAGTGTCGCTGCTTTGTGCCTGTTGCGTCGGCCCTGTCTTCGGGCTTGCGGGAATTGCCAGAACGCACACGGTTGGCCCTGACGGATGTCGCAGTCCAATTTCGATGGACTGCAGGCGAGTCTGGTCGCTCTGCAAGAGGCCCCGCAAAAAGCAAGGCAGCGCAACAATTGCGGCGCTGGACGTTTTGCCCTGCTGAGCTTGAGCAAGCAGTGGTCTCGCACCGGTGCCGCGGTGCCTAAAGTTGAATGCGTGCGCCGGATCTGGCGCGGTGCGCTTGCCAAACCTGGTGTCCAAACGCTGCGCGGGTGGTTCAACACTTGTGTTTTCCGCATCCTTTTAGATCTTCAGGGCGCAAATGCCACGCTTTAAGCTACAACTGCCTACAAGAAACTCAACTTACCAAAGTCTTAGCTTACCCTTTAAACAGGGGGCACCACCTTGTAACAAAACAAACAAAAAGACACAGAAATAAAGAGCCGAAGTCACAAACAAACAAACAAAGAGGTGCAGAAACATAAGCACACAAACACGAGAGAGAGAGAGAGGCAGAAAAACGAAGACAACCGACAGCACTCCGACCAGTAAGAAAAAGTAAGCACACAAGTTGGACATGTGATGGAATTGCTAGGAGTCCTTCTCGAAGCGACTCGTCGTTCATGTGAGTGTCGATCTGCCAGAAAAGCGGCACGCTGACCTTGGCAACTCTCCGACCACAACACAAGTGTCGCCCGAAAGGGAATAGTGCTGGGGTGTCGAAGATGCATCAAGAGTTCTCTTTTGTCATTTGCCATTGTTCAACCATGCTTGGTGGCTGGGCTGCACCTCCTCTCCCAACCCGCCCCCCCGCCCCTGCTTCTTTGTGACGCGCGCCTTCTCCTTTCTGTGCTTGCAGACCATTGACCGTTAGGCAGCCAGTTAGTATCGTGTAACTATTGGCTTCTTCCACCAAAATTACGCGGGGCGATCGTTTTGCGGCATGCGGGCAACGGCAAGCGGGTTTCCCGTGAGGCTTTCCACGCTGATGTGTCAGCTTTTGCTGCGCAGCTGCAGTACGCTGCCTTGAACGTGGCCGCAGCCGCATGTTCGGCTTGACCTTGTGCCCAAGCACGCGGCTGCGTGTTGTTGCATAAAGATGGTAGGGGGAGGGGGGAAGGTGAGGGGGAGGGCTCAACCTTAAAGAGAAAGTGTCCACTATTCTATGGTGCTCTGTCTATCTCAGATCCCTTGATGTACGCCGAATGGATGTACTGATCAACAGATGTCGTTGCTGAATAGTCGTGCAAACAGTAATTCACAGAGCACACGCCGCAAGGGTTTTCACAAGTGCATGCATTGCTTCATTGAAGGTAAAAAGAGATGGGCCCTTGAGCCAAAGTTGCAAGCGAGATTTGAGATTGTGTGGGGTTCAATGACTGCAACATACATACACGAAACACACAAATTTCTTTTGAACCCCCAGATCGTATTCCTGCATTGTGCTCATCAGGATAAGCTTGGCTCAGCTCTGTATGCTGCAGCCTTCAAAGTGGTACGCCGGAACCATTCAAAGTTTGAATCAATTGACCGGAGACACTTTTGTGACGCGATTGGGTTGTTCATCCGGCAACTGGCAAAGTTTATTCTAAGTGCAACACTTGTTGTCCTCGAAATCGCACACGTGATCGTAAAGCAAAAGAGGACCCAGGTGTACCTAAAATGTTGCATCTTCTTTGCTTGATGATTGAAACAACCCATTCTCGCACTGCGTGAAAATAGTCTTGCGCACGAACAGGTTGATATCGCAATAAGACTAGTCTTGTCATTCATGACGTCAATCGAACTGACTCATTGGGGACAACGGTTGCTCGGGCATATCGTGGTGCCGCTTCGGGGCGTGCCGAATTTGAATTCCTTTCTTGCTCAGTATCGCCACTTGTGTTTGGACTCATGGTAGCTGCTTTGGGACGCTGCTCCGGAATAGTCTACCCAGGATTGATGATCTGGTTCCTCCATCCGTAAAAAGTCGTTGACCTTGTTGTTGCGCTACTTCTGCGATCCGGAGTTGCATGTTGCATTGATGAACATCTCGCATGAATCTCTCCGCTGAGGAAACCTGAGTTGTCGATTTCGAACTTGCTCTGGTCGTCAGGCTTCATCGAGCCCCGTTCCTATTGTCGGAACGCTTGTTGGTCTTCTGTCTTTCCCCAGCCAAATACAAATGTGACAGCGCAATCTGGATAGGTTCGGCCCCAGTCGGAACGAGTCTTCGTGTGCTCCATGATCCAATCAGGGCGGCCAATGAGTCGCAATGCGGCAGCGTCATTCCACGACTGTTGAAGAAGCTTGATGGCACATAAGAGAAGACCATTGTCTGGACGATAAGCCTGCTGATATGTTCACGGCCTTGTTTCCTTCTTGCGGTGGTGGTATTTGGTGACGACCGGCAGGATGTGACCCTGAATGTCCTTCTCCACGGATCCATCATAGTCCTGGTCGGGATAAGTCTCGGGGGTGTTGCCGTGGAAGTCATTTTCTCCTCAATGCGGATGGTGACAATCTCCTTATTCTTCCCTCAGGCCTTGATGGAGGTGCGCGGGGGCAACCGGTGCTCCCGGCGATAGTCCTTCGTGAGCCGTGAACATGTAGTCTCCTTTGGACGCCAAGCAATCTGAGGTCGGAAGGTTGTGTTCAGGATCGTGTCACCGCTGGTGCCAAGGTAACATCTGAAAACTCCGAACGTTGTTCTCCAGTACTTGGACCTGTCGGAAATGTATCGTGCCAAGAGTTCAACTCTGGCGTCATGGTTGCCACGAACAAAGCAAGCGATGGGCCGAGCAGCCCAATACTTCAAGACGATGCCCTTGTATCCGTTGTGAATGAACATCTGACCAAGTTCCTTCAGATTCCTTCAAGAATGAGTCTGCTTCCTTGACGCGCGCTGTTGCGTAGCAGCATCTTCATCAGAGGTTGGTGGCGGATTGGCATGTTTTCGGCTCTGTGTCACTCAGCTGCGGATTTTAGCATGGTGGAGGATCATCCTGGCTGTGATCTGGAAGGGGCTTGTTGGTTGGTTGACCGTGACAAGGATCTCAGCAGGATCGTCGTCCTTTCTCAGGTCCTTGATTCCCGTTGAAATCTTGATCAGTGTCCTGACTCCTGCTGTCTTCCCCTGAACTCTTCCACGGATGGATATTCGCCCGGTTTCTGGTAGTGGAACTCCTCCTCATCTTGTTGACGGATTGAACTACACGTGCAAGGAAATCAATTTCGAACGCGTTGAGATTTTGGATTCCTCCTGTGCTTCTCCATCAGTTCGAGGAAACTCTCCTTGGTGTCTTGGAATGCTTTCATGGCCTGTCGCTTGTTCATTTCTCTGCAAAGAGTAACGGCTTTGGAGCAGTGATGAATTCCTGGAGACTCTGTTCGTCATGGCAGCTGACGTGGACTGCTCTGATCGGATGCAATGGATTCGTCGCCATGATCAGAGGACTCGGATCCGTGGCGTGTCTCGTCTGATTTTTGTCTCCGTGACATGATGGAAGAAGTGCTGAGCGAACTCTTCAATCTTGGTGATGTGTTCTTCCACGTCTTCTTGTTTGAACCTTGGCTGCAGGAACCTGCGTCCTTGCTGAAAACGATTGCCGTTGGCAAAGTATGCTGCGACGATGTTCGGAGGAGGACCGATGTTTCTGTGAGTGAGCGCCGTCCGTTCTCGTTCTCCAGTCATTTTTATGGTGCGATGGTTGTCGGGAGTGAATGCAAGGGTGATCGTCGCGTCTCTTCCGGCTGGCGCATGCCGCAAAGCGGATGCGGAAGACTGCTGACGCGCCGAAGCTGGATTGGGGGGTAGGCAGGCAGTTATAGTTAGTTAGTTAGTTGGTTGGTTAGTTAGCTAGTTAGTTTAGTTAGTTAGTTAGTTAGTTAGATAGTCAGTTGGTTAGTTGGTTTGTCTGGAGAAAAGTACATCACGCGCGGGATTGGGTTACGCGACACCTGAAACACAAAAAGGTACGCGGGAGGGGGATTGTGTCTGGAACACGGGAGCGCCTGACATGCGGGGGCCTGACGCGCAGAGGCTGGAGGACCAGGGGGGGTAGGTGATTAGTTTATTAGTTCGGAAGTTGGCTCGTTAGTTGGTCAGTTCGTTCAGCAAATCAGTTCGTTGTTAGTTAGTTGGCTGGTTGGCGGAGGAAAAGGGGGGAAAGTGTTTGACGCGTGGGAAGGAGGTGCAGCGTTGGAAAATTGCGCATGACGTGCGTGATCGGATCGGGGGCACCTGACGCGCGGGAGCGGTATCTGACGCGCGGGCTTGTGAGAGAGGGGAGTGCCGTTTGTTCGAGCGTGGAGGCTTTAGTTGTTCGGGCCCACGCCCAGGAACGCCGGGATCGCGCGGAGCTAGCTAGCTAGTTAGCTAGTTGGCTAGTTAGCTAGAAACCTAGCTCTAGTTAGTTGACTAATCATTAAATTGCCTATTCCGTTGTTAGCTAGTTGCGTAGTTGCCGCACGAAATGGAGGGGCAGTACTTGACGGGATCGGGTTGGGCGGCACCTGACACGCGAAACGTTCGGCGCAGCTTTGCGGGATTGCGCGTGACACGCGGGATCGGATAGGGTGCCTGACGCAATGGGAAAGAACCTGACGGGCGGGGAGGTTTTGTGGTTAGAGTCAGTCAGTCAGTCAGTCAGTCAGTCAGACAGTCAGTCAGTCAGTCAGTCAGTCAGTCAGTCAGTCCAGTCAGTCAGTCAGTCAGTCAGTCAGTCCAGTCAGGCAGTCAGTCACACAGTCAGTCAGTCAGTCACTCACTCAGTCAGGCGGCCAACAAGGTTGGTTGCTTGGTTGGTTGGTTGCGCGAAAGTACACCATGCATTCCCACTTGGATGAAACTCATGCTGACTACCATTGCATGGCTCAATATGATAAAAGGTGCAGGCGATGCGTAGTCATGTTTATCATTATCGCTGCTGGAGATGCCGGGGATGCGTAGTGATGGTTATTATCATTGCTGCTAGGGATGCTAGAGATTCGTAGTGATGCTTATCATGCACGTTCAAGTCTTTTCTATATACATTTCAAGTGTTCCGTTAGACCCCCGGCTTGACATGCAAGCGACGCATAGTCATGGCTAAAATCATCATCATCTCTGCTGGAGATGCCGGGGATGCGTAGCGATGATTATCATCATCATTATGATCGGTGCTGGAGATGCTGGGGATGCGTAGTGATGATTGTCATCGTCGCTGCTGGACATGCCGGGGATGCGTAGTGATGGTTATCATTGAATCATCATTCTGCTAGGGGTGCTGGGGATGCGTGGCGATGCCTATCATGCATCCTCATGATCCTCGTGATGATTCGCCTGATTCGTCTCTCAGATCTTCTCTGTATACATTTCAAGTGTCCCGTTACCCGGCTTGGCATGCAAGCGATGCGTAGTCAATCATCATCCGGGATGCGTAGTGATAGTTATCATCATCGCTGCTGGAGATGCCGGGGATGCGTAGTGATGCTCATCATCCACCCTTGTTATCGTCGTCAAATATACATCTCAAGGGTCCTGCTACACCCGGCTTGACATGCAAGCGATGCGTAGGCATGATTATCATCATCGCTGCTGGAGATGTTTGGTTGCGGCGATGCGGGGGGCGCCCCGCTACTCTGTTGCGAAGCCTCGATGGCAGGCCGCACAGTTGACGGCTCGTGTGTTCCGACAACGAT